TTGGATGTGAGTTTTCCCAGCCTCACTAGCTGCTGCCTGTCTGTCAGGAAGCTGGTGATCCACTGACAGATGGAGGTGGGTACAGAGAGCTGTGTCAGTTTATTCTGAAGGGTTTCTGGGATGATGGTGTTGAAAGCGGAGCTGAAGTCCACAAACAGGATCCTTGCATAAGTCCCTGGTTTGTCTAGATTTTGCAGTATATAGTGTAGTCCCTTGTTGACTGCATCATCCACAGACCTGTTTGCTCGATAAGCAAACTGAAGAGAGTTCAGGTAGACCGGCACCAGTTTCTCAAATGACTTCATGACCACAGACGTCAAAGCAACAGTTCTGTAGTCATTTAGTCCTGTGTTATGCTAAAGCAGCTATACAAATTGCATACTCAATATAAGAAGTCTAAAACAAACCTTTTAAGCCAAAAGAGTTACATCAGCTGTAATACATACATAAAAAAAAAAAAAGGTTGTTTTGAGGCACTGTGTTTTATGATTATGTAATTTAATTTATGTAAGTGACTATTGGCTAATAAGTGACAAGATTTTATGATTAAAATTGAATATTACACACTTTTGCAGACAAGTGAATGCACATTCATTAAATTGTTGTGATTATTTTTTATAAATAAATGCAAGTATTTATTAAACACTGGACTGTTTTTATAATACTGGTGCAAAAATAAAAATGTTAAAATTAATTTACCATTGTACATTAGCCACAATGTAGACAAACAACCCAAAATAATTTCTTGAATTAATTTCCAGTTTGGAAGTTTGTAAAACACACATAGAAAGTTGTGACAGATGCACTGATTATTCATTAGTTTAGCTGATCATTCTAATTAAATGTTTCTGTTTTCTACCGCTCAGGTGACAGAGTGATCTGACATCAAGAAAGCATCATGAGCACTGAAAAAGAGCGCAGCGTCCTGAATGATGCCAACGAGGAGAAGGAGGTGAAAGATGAGAAGACTGCTGTGAAGGAGGAGCTGTCTGAGGAGCAGGAGCTGGAGGAGCTAAGGGCTCAGGTGCTGCAGCTCCTGCTTGAGCTGGAAGAAGCTCGAGACACGGCTCAGAAACACGAGGAGAGCTTTCTGGAGCTGCAAGGTGAGACTCCCTGAAAAACATATCATTTTCACAGCAATGATCCCACAGTTACAAAGGTCATGTCATACCTTTTTTATTTTTCCTGAGGTGCACCTGTTAGTATTTTTTTATGTGTTGACATGGCGCCCTCTATCTTATCATATGAAACAAACACGTTTTTGTGTCACATGCCAAAAAGTTGCAGAAATACAGAATGAGTTGTTTTTGTGCCTTGGTTTCAATGTTGTTTTTCCACTGGGAAGTTTTGAGTTATGGAATTTACTAAATGTTTTTATAATACAATTAACGGTTAAATGTCAAACCAGTAACCTATGAATAAATAACTATATATTATAAAATCCATGTATATTTAGTTCATGATATACATTGTATTATAATTATAATATTATTTGATCTGAAACCTTTCTTAGATGGCAGTGGTGTTAAAATAACTGGAGGAGCTGAAAGGGGAATCTATGTATTAATATCTATGTTTGTCCATCTAGTAATTGAACTGAAATTTGCATTAGATAATAGTGACTGCTAAATGACTAACACTTACAGTAACCCTGCTGCACAGTGTCATGAAGAAAGATGTTTCTTTACCAAAAGTTATTTGTCAGAGATATCGTTGAATGTGGTCTGTCCTCCATGAGTTGTTTTACTCAATGACAGGCCCAGTAAAATAGTTTCTATATATAGCATTTAGAGCTCTTTAATGAGTCACCTGCTGTATAGCAGACAGACTCCTGGGACTCTGTAATGATCTGGCTGTGCTGTGACTGAGGGCTGTTTGTGTGTAACATGACAGGCATGTGAAAGGACAGCTGCGCGCTGAGGGAAGGTTCCAGACGGGCTGTCCTGACCAGCTCTAGGGCAGCAGATGCTTTTATCTTAACTGATCATTCCTGGATCTTCTCCAGTGAGGCGCTCTGCTGTTCCTGCTCATTTATGATCGCAGACATGGCATTAGATCAGTCTCACCCGCTTTAGGGGGCACAATTTCATACTTAAGAGTCAAGTATTTGAGTTGTGCACTACATGTGACTGAATTATCAGGTCTGAAACAGAAGTTATAGTATAACGTCCCAGAAATTAGACACCCAATGAAACAATGCTTGAAATGCGGGGAGGGGTGTACAAAATCAGTTGACATTTAGAGGGGACACAGCCTCACCTTCAGTTGCTAAAGTGATACATTTTACTGTGAGAATTTATTCTGTCTTAAACATTTTCTTCTATTTTCCCATGGATAACGTCTCGGTTACGTATGGTAACCCTCGTTCCCTGAAGGAG